GAAGATGAAGACGAAATTATGTCAACCTTATTATATTCAACACACCATTTGCCCAGTTCCCCCGTATTGTGCTGTGCTGTGCTTCTTTTTATGTTCCTTTCACGTCACCCCCATGTATCTCTGCAAAACGCCGTATCATTTGCTTTACCATGGCATCAAATGTATCCGTCTGCTATTTACTGTTTAATATACCGGCTGATGAACATCACTGTGTTAATGTACTTCTACTACTGATAAATCTTATCAGTAGTATTCACCATAATAATAATAATTTTCAAGAGTTTGGTTTCCTAAGGATTAGATTTATTTATACGAGTTTGACCACGGATTGGTTGATTGATATCAGAGAACCATTGAAAATCATCTGGGAGTACTGAAGAAGACGACTGTTGCATCGTAGTTTATTAATCATCATCAGTAAGCAAAAACGCCTAGCGTCAGGGCTCGAAACCAGGATATTCCGCTTACAAGGCAAGCTCATACTGCCGATGATTACCAATTTTGAAAAAAAAAACAGCTGTCTCACAGGACTACCTCGTTTTCAATGGTTCTCTAACTGATATAAACCAATCCATGGTCAAACTCTCATCAATAATAATAATAATCTACTTAATTCCAAAAACAGCACTACTTATAATATAGAATGAAATTCTCAGCATTTTGTCATAATATTGCATCTAGTTTAATTAAAATGCAAATAAAATTGAAAAATTAAAACAAAATTAACCAGAGGAATTCTTTCACGTTTATGACATGAAGTCAAAAATATTCACAATTATTTCACCACATAACTATAATTCAAGGTTGGTTATTGAAGGTGAGGTAAAGGAGTGCGCCGACCGGGGATCGAACCCCGGACCATATGCATGGTCGGCGAGCTCCTTTACCTCACTGAGCCAGAAATAATCCTGGTAAAGAGGAAAGGTTGGGCATGAGGATAGCGATCCCATCGTGTAAAAATTAAACACTGCTACAGAAACTTCAAGCCACTAGCTTGGAGCCCTATGTTCCACTGGGAACGTGAAGGAAAAATTATTTATTATTATTATTATTGAAGGTGATGGAAGCACTCTGTTGCAGATTAAACACATACAGCTTAAACTGTGTGTACAGTCAAAACAATAGACTTCAATCTTCGCCTACCATGGACGACTATATGACCTATCTAAATGTGATGATTGGTCATTAGTATGTACTTTTGTGTTTTTTTATTTAACTGAGTAATTTTCGTGAACTTTATTTTATTATTACTGTTAACCATGTTAGTTGTGCAAAGTGGTTGTAAAGCAGAAACTACGAAAGGACGATATCATCTTGCGGCAAAATTTGTCTTCTAAATAGATGCTTCATTCATAATTATAATAATTTTCATTATTATTATATTATTGCTCCTTTGGGTTCCTAGTGGAACATAGGGCTTCAACTGCAGCTCTCTACTTGCCACTTCTGTCTTCTGCTGTACTTTTCACCTGCGTCATCCATGTTAGTCCATACTGTTTCAACCAAATCCTCTTCACACGATCTCCTCCATATCACCCTTGCACTGACGTCCCACACGCCGCTTCCCTTTCGAGTTCCACTCGAGGGCTTGACGCGCGATGTCACCCAGCGGTCTCCTCAGCGAGTGTCCGATCCATCCATTTCCACTTTCTACTGCATATTTGCTGTTGTTGTGTGATTGGTTCTTGCTTCGTTTGTTCCTATAGTTCCTTGTTGGTGATTCTTTTCCGCCCGGCCATCTGATCTTCCGTATAGAGCGAAGACAGTTGTTAATAAAGGTCTGCAACAGGCTGTTGGAAATATTCTTTGTGACCCGCCGCCAAGTTTCTGATCCGTATAGAAGAACTGACTGACTTGACGTTTGTATTGAAAATCCGAATTTTGTTGGTGATGCTGAGTGACGAAGATTTCCAGATTGATTTCAGGTTGATGAATGTGTTTCTCGCCCCCCCTCCCCGATTCTCGATTTGACATCCTCGTCCGTTCCGACTTCCTGTAGTTGAGACAATGCTCCCTAGATAAGTGAGAGAATGAAGTAACCTCTTTCAAATCCTTCCCGTTGATGGTGATTGGCTGTTGGCTGGATGTTGCTTCTGTTGTTGTTGTTTGTGGTTGTTCGGTTATTTTCATAACCTCCATCTTGTCTTTGTTCACCTGGAGTCCTGTCTTTGCTGCTTCTTCGACCAGTTTGTCGGTTTTTGCTTGTAAGTCTTCGATTTTGTGTGACATCAAACATAAATCATCGCCGCGCGAAATCCAGGTCTTTTAGGTTCTTCACGTCGGTCCAGGATATCCCTGTCTTCTCGTTTCTCACTGTCTGACGCATAATCCAGTCAGTCCACCACAATTAGGAATATCATTCATTGGTGATAATAAGCCAGCACCCTTGTCTGACTCCTGTGTTTACTATACTACTATTATTATAACAGTGAGTTTGTTTCAGTCAGTATATTGTCGATTCAGTTTGAAACTTTTAGCATGTTATTATAGATTACTAAATCTAATCTTTTGTTGATATAACAGCATAGTGTGGGGAAATACAAAATTAACAGTTAGTTATTCCCCCCCCCATCGCCCAAAATGATCTTCACACTCATAAAGGGCGGAAGAAACGGTTTATTTAGTAGTGCAAAGAAGATTAGTTAGTTAGTTAGTTCATGTTTAACACTATTTTCATCACATAAATTACGTGCTGTCAAATATGGTATAGTGGAATTACTTTTATACTTAGACGTACGTGCATAAAGTCTTCTGAAAAGACTTCTTGTGGTTTACCTGAGGTTGAGACACAAGGTTAAAGCTGCGGGTAGAGTGAGGGTGCTCACAGCCTGACGAAAATCCTTTAGCAAATTTGTTGCATGATATCATGTGCCGGTCATCAGTCATAATGTTAACGATGTGGCCGACGGGATATCACTCGTCCTACTGGCAGTCTTTAGCGTTCTACGTTCTAAGGAATCCAGAAGAGAATAAGCAGGGGTGAACAGTAAAGAAGAAGAATAGGTAAAATATTTTCCGAATTGACAAACTGTAATCGCTGAGACCTGAGAAAATCAGGATACGTCAGAAGGAAAAATTAATCCAAGATGCTTTATTAACTTCAGACTTGATTTCTACATCGAGGATCATCAATTATGTAAGGGTTATAGGAACCAACGGTTTAGCTTCATTTAACTTTCGTTTACACCGAAAACTGAAATTAACAGTCTAACCTTTAGAAGGATTTAGTTCTTGAGACCGATCATTAGACGAAGACCATTTTTTAACTCCTGATAGAAAGCTGTTCATCTTAGTACAGTACAGTCTAGCTGGGAGTTAACAGACATTGTGAAATCCTTTTCTGCTGTGCTCACTGAAGCTGGTGTCCCCCAAGGTGCTGTACTCTCCCCACCTCTCTTTTCCTTCTTTCTACATGACCTACCATCTTCAAATGACATTAATTTTGTCAAATATGCTGATGACTTAATTGTATCTTTGCCTGTCAAATGTCAAAGTGACTGCTCTAAACTAAATGGCTTTTTATCAGAAATCAGCCGAAGGTCCAAGGAAACCAGTCTTAACACCTTAAACCCCTCCAAATGCCAAAAAGTTAATTTCACCTTTAGGCACAAATCTGACCTAAACAAACTGGTTAGCACTCACGAGGTGTGCAACATAGATTGATGGCACTGAAATAGAAACCAAGTCAGAAATTAAATACCTAGGCGTCACTCTATCTTCTGATCTTTCCTGGTAGTCTTATCGTATCTTGACGATTTCTAAGAAAATATTTCGTCTAACCACCTTCTACATCAAGAAGTTAAGACATTCTGGTGTAACCCAACCCTTACTCCTACAATTTGTTAACTCTCGTATTCTGCTTATTATTCTCTATTGTTCCCCCGCCTTAGTTTTTCCAGGGCTGGCTACTGAAGACAGACTATACCTTATTACGTAGGATGTTAAAGGTTGTCAGCAGGGTAAGCAGTGTGCAACTTAGCCAGCTTGTTAATAGTCTGGTGGACAGGCACATGGACTCATATGAAAAAAGGGGGCGAAATCCATTTTATCTATCTAACTCACACCACCCTCTCCATTCACAACTCTCCCCCTGTATCTCATCAAGCAGGCAGACCAGAAGCCTACATAGAAAACTATATGCCCGCACTAGCAAGTACAAAAACTCATCCATACCCTACTTGGCTCGTGTTCTGTGCGATAAAGAAGAAATCATTAGGCGTGAAACCTTTAACTTATTAAATAGTCAGTAGAACAATTGGATCTCGTCTTTTCAACTACTCATATCATTTATAGGTACAACGTTTTCTCTCTCTTTTCCTTTCTCTCTACCTTTGTTTTTGTCTTTGTTTTGGTTATGTGCTGTTTTGTTTCTCTCTTCCTAGCAAAAACTCTACTTAAAACATTCTTCTTCATCCTCTCACACTCCCTGTATATCTCGACCATTTCGCTATCGCTTACGCCAGTATATATGCTAGTAGTATCTACTTTTCTAACACCTTCAAACAACACCCTGTTCAATTTTGGCTTTGCTACCGACCGATATGCTACCGAAATGCTGTTGTCAAAACTAACTGAGACTGCTCTTAATCTATGTAGAACTTTATTTATTGTTAATGTACTAACTGGATGCGCAATACTGTAGTAAAATGCTGAGAATTCTATTCTGTATATCACAAGTACTGTTTTTGGAATAAAGCTATTATCTTATCTTAAATTATCAATGGTCATTTGCTCCTCAACCAATCAGATAGAAATATTTCACAGATGAGTAATTCATTTTGTATAAACAAAGAATTTTGATTGGTTGGATCTAAAAACAAATATTATCATTACAGGATTCCATTATGAGCTGACATTATTAGTTCAGAAGCATTATTGGAAAACCTGAGAGTATTATTTTAAAGGATTTATTCATCGCATTGCATCATAATAATGATGTGGATTCACGCTCATTTAATTACTTCTCTTGTTCCCGTTTTTTATATTTTTTCAAATTTAAGGAATACGACAAAATACTCAGGAACAAAATATTACTAATTGGCCATTATATACAACTAACTCTCCACTGACGACGACGACAACATCAACAACAACAAGTCCATTATTGTACAAGAGACAAGTGATAAGTAAATCATCAGATCCTACAGAGTGTTTTTACTCACAATATCACGAAAAAACTATCAATTCTAATCTTACTAATCATCATACCATTGAATATCGTAGGAAAGAGTATAGATTACCAAGAAATTATCAGGAAAACCGACAATATAAACGAAGGCAACATAATTTTATTCATTTGAGTTTACCTTCATGTGAAGAGCATTATCCGACGTTGAATGATTTCAATCCTTTATTTTCATCAAGTGTTTCCTCTTCTACTTGTGCTATAACAAAATCAGTGGGAGAGAAAGACATAGAAACATTGACGTATCGATCAAATTTGAATAGTATTGGTAAAACTTTAAGTTTTTCTGGTCGACCATCAGATGATGAACTGAATGACAAGAAGAAGTATAGTGATCAGAATTGTGATCAAAGACTACAGCCTAATAGTGAAGTTTGTGTAAAACGGAAAATTAACAGACCTATGTCCATTAGTAGTAGTAGTTGTAGTAGTATTACTACTAATATGCCTGTTACTACTACTACTAATAATAATCCTACTACTAATACTAGTCAGCAACCAACAATTCTAACCACAAAACGGGGTCATCTAGCTGTGACACCCTCTATAGAAATCAGTCTAGTCAGTGATGAAACATTCGATGCTAATAATAATAATAATAATAATGACGATGAACAGAATGATGAAACATTTACTCCAAATCTATCTACATATTCTGTTGAAAATCGAAATCGTCGTAATTCAAGTCGTCAAAGAATACCAAATATACGTTCATCTTCTTTACGCATTGACACTGATACAAATGATAATGTTATGCTTGGTGAAATGTATGATCGTCCTGTTGTCTCTAGCCAGTATTTATCCAGTCAAAATGAGCTCAAAGTGAAAGGTGATTATGAAGAGGCAGTAAAAACAACAAGTCATGGAAGGAGAGGAAAGCTAATCAGACAGTCAAGATCATTTCAAAATCCTTTGGAAACAAACAATACTAATCTATCCACTGAAGGAGAAGAAGTTAATTCGGATAGTAGTCGGTTGACTACACTGAATACAAATCGAGTTATAGATGATTTTGATTATTTTTGTCGTATTGCAAATGTACAACCAAATGATAATAGTACATCCAAAAAAAGAGGCTTACATCCTCCTCTGTCTGCATCATATGTACGGAGTAATTCAATGCGGGAATATGGTGTAGAAAGACAGAAAAGTATGAATGAAATGAGTGGTCATAGTAGTCCTGGTGGTGTTGTCCCTAGTCAACTGGATTCATCATTCAATAGTGATTTAAAATTTTCTAAAAGCTCAAAATCTGCTAAATCTAGTTTCTTAAAACCTCCATCAAACAGACAATTAAGAAGAGCTAATACTGAAGAAGATCCATTGAATAAATCTCCATTGATGAATAAACGTCCACTGGCTGCAACATTAAGTTATACTTCAATGACAAGTAGCTATTCTAATCTCTGTATAACACCGTTACCACCACCTCCGAAATCTATACCTTGTGTTCCCTTGGTATTGGATGATCTTATTAATACCGATACACCATTAGGTGTACCATTATCCATAGATTCAATGTTTGCTGATGAACCTGGATTGACATTTTATCAAGTACAAGTTTTAGGGTCATCAGGTGTTGGGAAAACATCTTTATGTCAACAGTTGGCATCACTTGTTAGTGAAAATCCATCAAACTGTAAGTTGACGAAAAATAAATATCCCTCATTTTGATCATACTTTATACATATATATATATTTATATATATTATAGATTCATTTCTAAAGAAGTTTTTATTATTTTGATGAAGTGTCACATACAGAGTGTGTGTGTTATACAATTATATTTACTGATGATAACCACACGATTCGAGCACAGTTTATCATTGCCACTACTACGCATAAACATAATCATATCAAGGCACACAACTCACACTCACACACCACTCACTTTCTTGCTTCGCCCTTTAAATACATGCATAAGTAGAAACTGATAATGATTAGACAACATTTGATTGAATCAAATCAATCAGTAGTATAAGATGACAAGAAAGTGCATTCGGAAATAATAATAATAATTACGATAATAGTGCTACTGTAACAACAGAAGACAAGGGCCAGCCAAATAGATCGTTTATCAAGGAAATCAACACGTATTTATAGATTTTTATGTACATTATTATGGCATTATTGTTAGCAGAAAAACACCACAGTCTTCTGATTTGGTGGTTGTTTCTCACCGAAAGTTAACCTTTCATCTGTCTTTGTGGCTGTTTCTTGAAAGGCCAGATCATCTCTATATGTTAACTGTATCCGCTTGCTCAACGTCTTTGTTCTCATTTTTCTCACGACCCATATTGGAGACGTAAACATTGACGTAAATTTCTGTCTACCCCCAACTTTGGCTAGCAGCCAGTTGTCACCATACTACGAATCAAATACAATCGGATGATGGGAAGAGAAGGGAAATAAGACGAGTGTTTTTGTAGTAAAATATATGAATAAATAAATGCATAACTTGTTGTTGACATGTCATAATGTGTATGTGAAGTGAACTGAATTGAAATAGAATATAAATGAACAATATTTATTATCCTGCTCTGATTTGACTGACTGACTAACTGATGGCAATAATATTTTGCATATCTCTGCTATTAGCTTGCAATAATGATGATGCGTCACTTCTACTGCATTTGTTGTGTTGTGTTGTATAGAGTGTGTAGACTCGATGAACCAGGCAGGATTCAGTAAGTAATCAACGTGTCTCTCTATATCTCTATCTCCACCTGCCTATATTACTTCTTCTTAGAATTTAGACCCTCTCCCACCCACCACCACATTGTGTGGTTGCGTGTTAATGCATGCAGTCCAATGTAGAGCTGAGTTATTTGTTATAATAAATTACTTATCTTCGAAGGTGGAATCAATCATTCTAACCTTGGCTAAATTGTTACATTCTGACAAGCAGTCTCACTATTCCTTCCTGATCTACTAGTCTGACTCACCTATATGTAGGTTAGTTGACTTAACTTAACTCACAGTCATTGCAAGGTAGTTTGTTGAATTGGGTTCAGTAATTATTGAAAAGATATCAGATCACGAGTGATGAACTCCTATTTGGGGGGTACACTTATTCTCGAATATATTGTATTCAAGTAGCTTAACATAACAACTCATCATTTACTCTCAAGTCCATACACACTTGCCTCAGAGATGATTACGTCATTGCATATCCAAGTACATACCTTGGAACAATGAAATCATGAATAACTAACTCATCATTTAGTTCCTTAGATCGATCAAAATATACTACACGAATAACTGTAATAATTCTGTCGGTCATACATGATACTGTCTCTCTTTAATCCTCAAGGAGGGGGACGGGACGGGTGAATTTATTGTAGTGTGAAATATTCCCGTATCATCATGTGTATTAAAAGTCAATTTCCACGAAGAATATTCTTTTTTTTTATTAATTTCTCCTCTCTTAAGGGTTCTAAAACCAATTATTAAACAATTATAATATTTGTTGTCATCGTTACAATAATGATAGCCAGTTAATTAGTTACACGGTGGATACATTCTTTTTAACGTAGAATAATAACAGATGAGTAGTAGTTATGCGGGATGTTATATTGAATGTGACGAATATCGTGCTCTTGTGCTGAAATCAATTACAAAATATATTTCAGTGAAATGGGAGTCAATGAGGATGTATATCTAATTGAATTTGAGATTTTCCCGTCGATTGATTGGACCGAAGTGCTCGGCCTCAGGTTCTGTCACCACCAACCACCCAACCAGACAGTCAGTCAGGTAGTTCACATCATACTACCTGTGGGAAATCATTTATTGACTGTTTTGATAAAGCGTCACACACACACTGCGTGTGCGTGTGTGTGTTTGTTATACAGTAATATTTACTGATGATAACCACACGATTCGAGCACAGTTTATCATTGCCACTACTACGCATAAACATAATCATATCAAGGCACACAACTCACACTCACACACTCCTCACACTCTTGCTTCGTCGTTTATATACATGCATAAGTACAAATTGATGATGATGATTAGACAACATTTGATTGAATCAAATCAATCAGTAGTATAAGATGACAAGAAAGTGCATTCGGAAATAATAATAATATTAGTCTTATCAATGAATCAATTGTCAAATGCAATAAGATGGGATGAAAAAGGAAGGGAAATAAGACGAGTGTTTTTGTAGTAAAATTATTAAATAACTTGTTGATAGAATGTTCTAATGTGTATGTGAAATGAAATGAATTGACCAGACACATTATTGATACCGGACATCTCGTAGAGATTTCTAAGTCCTTCAAAATATTAAATAGACAAAGGACAGCAAGCAAATTTACTAGGATTTGCCGAAGCCATCGCAATCAAGCGATTCACACCAACCAGGCTTATGCATACAGAAAGAGAGTGTGATTAACCTCTCACTCCCTTGGTAACAGAATTTTGATTCTGATTAGTCATCTAATTCAGTGATCTCAACTCACTGAACAAATCTTAATCTCATAAACTGTAACCGCTTTTGTTTCTGGAGTTGCTATGTGAACAAGCTACAAGCTGACACTGTTCTGTTAATCAATTTTTCTTTTTTCTGTCTAACCCCTCCCCCTCTTTTCAATCTTTAAAAGCGTATAAATTGATGATGAAAACTTAAACTAAAACAAAAATTGTAATGCTTTCATTTAGATGTGTCAATTTTATAGTATCTCTTTTCTACCACCACTCGAACATTAAAGTATGTTATTGTCATCTATATAACCATTTTAATTCCAGGTAGTCTGCAGTTAGCTGATGAGAACCTGTGAAATAGAATGATGGCATCATTTTATACTGCAGATTTCGTCTTCCTTTCTTTATCGAAATGAATTGAAATAGAATACAATTTAAGATTATTTATTATCCTCCTACTTTAGTTTGATTGACTGGCTGACTGACTGACTGATGGTGATAATAATATCTTGCATAACTCTGGTATTGTACTACCTGGCGACGATGATGATGATGATGATGTGATGACGAGTCACTGCTGTTGCATGTGTTGTGTTGGGTGTGTAAACTGGATGAATCAGGCAGAATTCAGTAAGTAGACCATCTTTGTCTTCCTCTCCACCTATCTACCTGTATTACTATTTAGAATTTTAACTGTGTCCCCCACTCACCCTATTGTGTTTTTTATGTTAATGGATGCAGTGCAATGTAGTGTTGAGCTGTCTTCTTTCCAAAATTAGTTAGCTAAATTCTTATGCCTTGACAGGCAATCTCACTACTCTTGCCTGATCTACTTGGTCTGACTCACTCATGTAGGTAGTTGGCCTAACTTACAGTCATTGCAGGGTATTTTGTGAATTTTATTATTATTATTACTATTTTGTTTAATTGGATCAACAACTTAAAGGGTTTTGTAACCTGAGGGATTGAGTTTGTAGGTTTGAATGCCACCACCAGTGTAATTTCTGCTTTGATAAGAATCCTAGTTATGAAGGGTCTCAGATGTCTCCTTTTTCGTAAAAAGGTAAAACTGTAGTTTCCCTATTATTATTATTTTTATTTTGCTTTTCAACTATTTTCCGATCTTCCCTATGAATTTTATGCGATAGTCAGTAAGAATATTTAACACCAAGAAGACATTCTTCTTGTTCTATCTGTCTGTTTCATTTCATCATTTGAGTCATTTTTGTTGTACTACTTAGTAATGTTGTTCCTCGGTTGTTGATGTTAGACACTTCATTAAACCTGCCTTTACAGACAGATAACTAACGGATCAGGTGAATTAAAGTCCTAATACCTCTTAGCGTTGGTTTTCTATATAAACCAGAATACATACAGTTTACATTCTTCTGTTCATTTTAATTAACAATCCGACACAGTGCCCAAGTTTTATACCTACGTTTTCTTTATTCTTGATATCATTGTATGTTTTGAGAAGATGATATGTGTTAGAGATACTTCTCAAGTACCTATAACTTCCTGTTGGTTTTTGATAATTGGAGGCAGTCAGAAGCCCTGTCAGGACCTAGGTACTATCTGGCATTGACTCATCATCGTAAGTCACCAAGGCGCCTATTAACAGCCACATTGAAGGAACAAACCATATCCCTTCTGAGATTAAAACAAAAAATCACCCAGTGAGTACTGCAGTGAGTCAGAGATGTTGCCACCATTAAGGTATTCGGACGCGTGATTGATCTCCTGTAGGACTAACTGCATTGGGTAGTTTTGAATGGACACTAGGCAGTGAGTAGCTACTGTAATGTGTGTGTATGTGTGCGTCTCTAGTCCTTGGTGTTGGTGCATACTGAATTCTCTCAGTCTGTCAAGTTTGCAATGTGGCCAGCAACAGGCTAGGGGGCTGGCTTGCCATAACACTGCTCTGTGAATTGTTGATAGTAGATAGTTGGAGTCAGTCGGCTACAGAAAGTCCTATGTGGACCAAGGTTTCTTGCTAGTGGGCAGTCATCAGCTACCTGGAATGGTGGCCACATTGCAAACTTGACTGACTGAGAGATTTGAATCTGTACTAACACCAAGGACCAGCTATGTTAATATATGTGTAAAACTTGGGCACTGTATTAGTAAGTAATTCCATATTAGTTTGTTTATTAGATATATCACACAGTCAGTCAGTGAAACAGTATTGTATACTGGATGACAGTGTTT